TCGTACGTCCTGTCAGACGTACGATCAGAACTTCTGCGGACAGATGTGCCTGCGGTTTCTACAAACGGTAGACGCGCGCGAATTTAAAAAGCTCGGTGAGACGCTGTGAAATTTCAGTATTAGTCGAACACCGCCATGTCGCTGACGCTTACGCTGAGCGGGAAGAGCACCGTCCTCGCGGCAAACTACTTTCCCGCCATAGATTTGAGTGACGACGATTACGAGCTCGGTCTGGTGATTTTTGAGACTTATCACACGATACCGAACGTGAATAATTCGAACAACAAATTTTATTTTGCCAAAGATGACGTGGAAATTACAATTCCCGAAGGTTCGTACGAAGTGCGAGACATAAATGAATTTCTGAAACGCGCGATTTTACGGAAAAGTCCTCACCGCGACGCGCTTGAAACCGTTGACGTAGTGCGCGGTGACAATAAGAACAATGACGCCGATGATAATGATAACGGTGAGGATGGAGAATACCCGATTACGCTCCGCGCAAACTACAACACGATGAGATGCGAGATTAGATGTGCGTACGGAATAAACTTTGACAAACCCAACAGCGTTGGATCGCTGCTGGGATTCTCGTCGAAGCGCGTACTGCGACCGCGAAGATGGCACGAATCGGACATGTCGATCAACATAATGAACGTAAACGTTATCCGCGTAGAGTGCAGCGTGACCGCGGGTGCGTACAGCAACGGCAAAAGCGCGCACACGATACACGAATTTTCACCGAGCGTGCCGCCAGGATATAAGATATCGGAGAGGCCGGCGCAGATCATTTCCCTGCCGATCATCGCACGGAGCATTACGGATCTGACGATACGCGTCGTCGACCAGAACGGACGATTGCTCGATTTTCGCGGAGAAGAGATCACCGTTAGATTGCACGTACGACGTCTGCAGTGATAACGTGAGCGTGAGATGCTCGTGTTGAACGGAACGGAGCGCACGCAGAGAGATAACGTATTCTTTACAAGGCCAACGACGTCACAGCTCGATAACACTCGCTCATCCGACTGCATTAGAAAGAAGAAGAAGCTCAGCGCGTCGAACGTTACATTTTTAAAGTCTTTGGGATTCGCGGTGCGCAACATTTGAGATGACTGATATCCTAAACATTAAAAGCGAGCCGGTCTTCGACGATCGCATCGTCAAGATTGAGACTCACACGTACAACCCGTTCGCCAACACAACGTTCGGGTACAGCGACGAGATAAGAATACCCATACAGCAACAGGATCTATACACATTGCCGTACGAAAGCTTTCTATACGTCGAGGGAAAACTGACGAAGAACAAAGTGGTCCAGGGTGCTAGCGTGTCATTGGGAAATAATTGCGTCGCGTTTATATTCGATGAGATTCGATATGAACTCAACGGTGTGGAGATTGATCGTAACAGAAACGTAGGCATAACTAGCACGATCAAAAACTATGTAACAGTGTCGTCCGACAGAAGCGTGATTCTGCGGAATGCCGGCTGGGATGCGCAGACTACTGCGGCCGGATACTTTAATTTCTGTGTTCCGCTCTACGTACTGCTGGGATTTTGCGAAGATTACAGACGTGTGGTGATCAACGCTCGTCACGAATTGATTTTAATACGAGCGCGCAACGACAACAATTGCCTGACGGGAGATTCGACGACAGAGCCGACGCTCGAATTATTCAAAGTACAGTGGCGAATGCCGCACGTGTTATTGAGCGAGATAAATAAGCTGTCGATACTGCGCGCTTTGGAGAGCGGACGATATCTGAGCATGGCTTTTCGCTCTTGGGATCTGTACGAGTTTCCGCTCTTGCAGAGCACAACCAAGCATTCGTGGGCCATCAAGACGGCTAGTCAGCTCGAGAAGCCGCGCTACGTCATTTTCGCTATGCAAACAGGTCGAAAAAATATCATGTCTGAGGATGCAAGTCGATTCGACCACTGCAAATTAACCAATGCTAAACTCTACCTGAATACGGAATGTTATCCGTACGATGATTTGAATCTAGATTTTGATAAAAACAGATGTGCGATTCTGTACGACTTTTACGCGCGTTTCTGCAAGGGCTACTATGGATACGAATATCTCGAGTCGAATCTCACCTTTACAACTTTTTTACGTAATGGCCCGTTCGTGATCATCAATTGCTCTCGACAGAACGAATCAGTCAAGAGTGGTACCGTGCGATTAGACTTTGAATGTAAGGAGAACGTGCCCGCAAATACAACAGCCTATTGTCTCATCATACACGATCGTGTGGTTCAGTATACGAGTATGCCACAAATATGTACAACAGCTATCTGAAAATTTCATAAAATTCGTAAATAATAACAAATAATGTACTAATTAAATAACAATACAATAATTTGGAGGCACTGATAGTGTCTCGCGCAGCGACACTGCCATAGCTACTTTACGCGAGCTGGCGAGTTGCGATGACGGTAAAGTTAGCGGTTACATCCAATGGCCAGATCTGAAAAACTAGTGCGGGGCACCCGATTGTAAAAAAAATGGATTTTATAATGTATTTTTATTTAAAAAATCATTGAAAATAATAACTCACAGTGATAAATTAGACAAGCTTAAGGTAAAAATGTTGAAAATAATAATAATAATAGATTATAAAATATGTACATAATATAGACAATACAAAAATGTTAATATTATTGCCGTACGCATGGTGCTACACTTTCGGAAATAATTCTAATATAGTCCCCCTCTATTGTTTACTTTAACATTTTTTAATTGTTTAATTAGTAGCCAGGTTGATCACAGATCACATGCATAGTGCTACACTTTCGGAAAAAATTTTATAAAGTAGTCTGGGACGTGAGGAAAAACATTTTGTATTTTTGAACATCAACTCCTTGTTTATTTAAAAAATGTTAAACAATTAATAGCCAGGTTTATCATAGGTCACATGTACGAGTGTGATAAGCCTGATTGTTAATTTTTCCTCTCTTCCTATTCCATGGAAAAGAAGAATTCCGATTGATTAGGTGCATGCAAAAGCACTGAGCGTTCAATGAGCTCTTGTATCTGTTTGGTCTATATTTTTAGATCTAATGGAATATATCAATCAGATGTAAGAGCCCTCTGAGCACTTAGTAAGCGGTTCTGCACTCATTGATTCCCTTATGCGCTATGCATTATGCAAGAGGAACTGCGGCCAATAAATTTGCGCAACAGAAAACGGCGAAATCGGCGGAATAAAGCCACGACCAATCATGAACGTTCCGCAGTTCCGCATCCCTTGGGAGCCCCCTGAGAATGCGATCCCATGGTGCGGAATTAGCGGAACGCTCGTGATTGATTGTGGCTTTATTCAGCCGATTCCGATCCGCTAAAACGTATTTTCCTATGTCTCATGGAGTGGAATTTCCTAAATGCGCAATTAGCGCTGACCAATCACAAGAGCCTTCCCGTAGATCATTTTCATTAGATCCACTAGAATAGTGTCATTGGCTCGCATTGATTGCGTATCTGCAAGTTCCGCTCCATGGGACATATGAAACTAAATTCCTGTGGATCGAAAATTACATATACATACAGGAACATTGCCCTGTCTTCATTTTATGTATATCCATTTTGATTTCGATTTACATCCGAGAGAAGAGAGATTTATAGCGTATTCGGCCTCAGGAGATTTGCTCCAACCTGGGTTGGATTAATGATGTTAGATGCTCTCTTATTGGTAAACCGTGTAACGTCAGCCAATAACAGAATATTATCCAATCCAAATCAGTGCAAATCCGCTCGAAAACGCTATTAGAGATTTTAGATACCTAGATTCCGAGTGCTATCTAGGTATCACTTCATTCTTGTTATTTACTGAATGTTAAACAAGGATGATATAACACCCGGATAACAGATGAGAATCCGAACACGCCTCAACATGTTGATTAATCATGCGCTTGTAGGAGATAATTTTCTCCATTAAACCATTCTCCATTAAAACTTAACGAGGTTAATTTTTATGAGTATACATATGTAGTACATGCACACGCACACATGCAGGCATCGGCCGAATCTACCAAAGAAATAAATTTGCGCAATATAAAACGGCGGAATCGGCGGAATGAAGCCACGACCAATCACGATCATTCCGCCAATTCGTATTACGCCAATTTTGCACCATAGGACTGCACTCTGCGGCCGGGTTCACACCTTGACGGAAAAGCGGAAAGCGGAAAAGTGGAAGTCAATCGAAACTCGCGGTGGTAGTAGGCGGTACATTTCACTTGTCTGCTTCTGCCTATCGATTCTGTATCTTTAAACAAGGTGAAAATTTAAAAATTTATTAGGTGTTGACCAATGAAATTATCAGTATTCTAGTTAATTCGCTCACTTTTGTAATTTTCCCTTGTTTCAAGATACAGAATCGATCCCCTGTTTTTCCGCGGGTTCTGATTGGCTTCTGCTTTTCCGCCAAGGTGTAATCGCCTCCTGAGACTACCAATTACGATCAAAGTTAGTTTATGGTTGACGCTAAAAAGTTTGTTTCTTTTTAGCGTTAGCGGGTCACAATTAAGCTTGATCGGTGTTGGTGAAACCGGCCTTTAAAAACACAAATTCATTACTAATGCAAAGAATTTGTGTGTTTAAAGCAATAGATTTTTGTTTTTAAAACAGTAAATTTGAATAAAGCAGAACGTATACATAGCGCTATATTGAGTCGGGATGACAGATATATAACCTCTAAAGTCTCCAATTTTAACGCTTAATAACTCGATTTATAAAGTCGACCACAGCGTTTTTTGCCAGATTCTCTCGTTTTGAATAAAAACGTGTCGAATAAGTATAATTTTATTAAGATATTATTCTAAATAATATTTATGTGAATAATTAAATTAAACATGTTGAACTTTAAATTCTAAAATAAATAACACATAGTGATACATAGCAGAAAGCTATTGCCTCCTCTTTACAGATTACAAAGTAGATTCGATATTTCTTGACGCTAGAAAACGAGCGTTTCAGCATTGCATGAAAAGGGACCCTAATATGTAGAAAGATAAAGCTAAATCAGCCTTATGTGGGAGTTTTCTTGAAGAAATCGAAGAGTAAGTTCCTTCAAATCATTCTCTAGCATTAATTTTAACATTTATATTGACATAAATGTTAAAATTAATTAGGTGAATAGTATATGTAGTGTAAATTATTTCAGTCCTAATATGTCATTTATTTATACAGAAATGAAGCTAATGTTCAATGCTTAAATGTAGTTTAAACGATTTATCCGAAACTTTTGCTCAAGTGCATGAGGTACAAGATTTAGGAAATCGATCAAGATTAGTGGTTATGGCATACAGAAGAATCAAGATTGTTAATCAAATTTTTGAGGATGCCAATTCAAAAGTAAATAGAACACGGTATGAAAAATACATTTAGTTATTGCATTTGCCTATTGCACAATAAAGTGACATTTTATAGAAATTTAATGTTCTGTTAACTGATACAAATTTTCTTATATAATATAATGTAGGGCTATGAACCATTCAAGTTATTATGTGAATAAAACTATTTTTATCAACAATCTAAATTTTGTACAAACATTTTGATTCCTATCAGGTCATTTTCAATGTTAAATAATAAATTTAAAAATGTTATCGGTAACTACACAAGATGTTCACATTGTAAATTTGAAAAAAAGTTTACAGTATAATAGACCTCAAGCGAGATTATTATATGACTTTTGAATTTGACTAACATCAAGTTCCAATATGAAGCTATCTTGTATCTAGGCGGTTTTCTACCGTAATTTCTCTTGCCAATATGCGAATACAACATGCGCTTTTTATATTTTAATTTATGAACATTTTGCGTAGTTATCGGTAATATTTTTTAATTTATTATTTAACATTGAAAATGACCCGATAGGGGTCGAAACGTTTATACAAAATTTAGATTATTAATAAAAATAGTTTTACTCATAATAATTTGAGTGGTTCATAGCCCTATTTATTTAATTATTTGAACCGTTATTCTTTATTCTTTAAATTAAAAAAAAATGTTCTTGTTTAAATTGAAGTGTTCCTGTTCATCAATTATTCTGTTTATATTGTCCTGCCTATTTTATACAGAGATAAAAGTGACATTTCCTATGACTATTAAATACTACAATTACTGTTCCTATAGTCGACAATGACCAAACAAGGTTAATCAGAAAGCATTACGTAGAATAGCAAGAATAGAATTATAGAACGAACTGAGAGAATAGAAAAGATCAACATGAAACAAACTCTGCGGAAATAAACCGCAGATACATGCACTTGAGAAGAATACGGAAAAATCATTAGCTATTTCATCAATTCCTCAGTCTGGTATTTTATATATAATACGTTTCCATACATTTTCATTATGCTACTATTTATTAAAATAATATCTATGTATGAAAAAATTTATCATACATTAATATGTATAATAGAAATAATAATAGTAATGTGATAACATAAAAAATAATTTACGGGATAATTTTCATTGTTCGTTTTAAATTACATATTCATGCATAAAAAATTTTTTACCAGGCATGGTCCTACTTATTCTTATCTGCTTTTATTATCATAGGAACAGGTGGGAGCATGTTGGAGCATACGATGCGTATTTATTATACAATATTATAGTTATTTATTACTTATGATTTTCAAAAAACATATTTTAAAAAATGAAAATCTTCCATAGATACGCGACGTTCTAGAAATCCAGTACGCCAATCGAATTCTAATCCAGAAATGAGTGCTAATTGGAAAAATCTATTTTTAAATAAAAAAAAAATTAAATATGCAACAACAAATTGATAAAGATTTTATTTGCTAGAGATTAAATTGGATGCAGAGTTTGGTAATAGAGAAATTGTTTTTAATAACTATATATTAATATTTATTTGCATAATATATAGTTAGTTGCAAAACTATTAGAAGAAATTTTCGACATGAGAATAACTTCACTTTCTTTAGAAAATACTGGAGATCATCCAACTGCATTACGTTCGCAACATTCCTCTTCCAGGAGCAACACAAATTACTCGAACTACGTAGGTCATTCCATAAATCTGGTAAATCTTTATGAGTAAATCTTTTTGACGTGACATCTGGAAAATATCAGTCTTCAAACTCTTCCAGCTCAAATCATTTCAATCAGAATTAATGCGTTGTTCACGTTTGGTAGTTGTACAAAGCGAGCGAGAAATTAAGCAATTTCCGTGTATAAAAATAAAAAACGAATTTCATGCAAAATTAAGTGGATGAGGAATCAATTCGAAGTTTTTGTAACTGTGAAATTTTTCACTCGCTTAAAATGACGTGAACAACGCATCAATTCTGATATTTGGCTTAGAAGGGTTTAAAGAGTTTTCAGTAATCACATCATCAAATGGATTGTTATACCATTTTATAAAGATTCACTAGACTTATCGAACGACCCTCATATTTTAATATTGCAATGTAAATGTATTTGGATACATTTACATTGCAATATTAAAATATGAGGTTTTTTACGAAAACTCTAAAATGATAACTATTTTCTGTACATATGTCTCACTAACTTCAATGTTTAAGGAACCGCACGCTCAAGATATGCAGATCCTCTCGCGAATTGAGAGCGCTCCGAGCGCCAATTCTGTGTGACGTAACGGGGGGTATAGCGAATCTTGGAGTATCCCGCTGATGGTGCTCCCAGGCAATTCAAATTGAAGCAGCAGATTGCAACCTCACAAATCTAACAGTGCTGATCTTCTCGACAACATATCCGGTGTTAGAAAAATCTAAATCTTTCCAGAAAGTCGGCGCTTATAAAACCATGCAAAAACAGTCACCCCCACTCCAGTCTTACAGTAGTACTTAATACTAGAATCTCACTCCACGCTTTTTTCCTCACTTCGCGTTTTTCCTCTGCGGTTTTGTACATTTCTGAACATAGTTCGCTGCGGATAAAAGTAAGTATACGAATTTATCGTATCAAATAAAATGATCGGAGATATCACTCAAATTCTCCTTTATTGCACCTTACCACGTCTCCTGACACCAGTACACGATCTTTTCTAACGAGTAACGATTTTGAACATTCAATTTCCCTACAAATCGCATTTCTAGTGATATGTGCTTTTCAAAAGCAATTTTTTATGATAAAACCATAAAATATTTCAATAAATGTTAATTCTAAATAATAAATTTATTCTCAAGGATGAAGAGCATGTATGTGTGTCCTCCGAGCAAATATTATCAATCACAAATATTATCCTCATTAACATAATAATATATTTGCTTGATAAGTAAATCATGAATTAAGTTAATTGCAGTGATTTTTTTCAATTCAAAGCTACTCCGAGTCAATTGAAATCGATTAAAAAATGACGGTACGAAATTTATCAATAAAGTTCGGGCGCTGGTTTATTCCTGCATGCACACACATTAAGCATAAATACATCATCGATCACATAATTAATATTTCGATAAATCGTTTTCAGCAGCTTAAATGTTTATCGTCTTATCCAATAATGATGCGTTGATTATATCCAAACTTGATATTATACAATCTTTTGATTTCATATTCAAAATAAATTTAGCTAATGGTCGTCAAATGGCCGTCAAATAATAGATTAATATATAGATTAATAAATTTTTTTATTTGAAATATAAAAATGGATGATATTAATTATTATATTATAAAAACGACTGTTAATAAAAGACTGTATTATAAATATTATAATATAAAAAATTATATTTTTATATTATAATAGTAACAATTTTAACGCGAAAATCGGTAAAGAGGACATTTTTAGACCAACGATCGGGCTCGAAAGTTTGCACGAGGAAAGTAACGATAACGGAATGAGGGTAATTAACTTTGCGACCGGCAAAAATCTTATCGTCAAAAGCACGTATTTTAGACACAAAAATATCCATAAACAAACTTGGATTTCCCCGGATGGAGGCACGCGTAACCAAATTGATCACGTTCTTGCATATAAACGGCGTCACACGAACATACTCGATGTTAGGTTTTATAGGGGGGCTGATTGCGACTCGGATCACCTCTTTGTAATTGCCAAAATCAGGGAACGTCTTTCGCTAAACAAAACTAACGGGCAGTTGTTTGGAACTAAACGTCTAAATGTACAAGGTTTGATCGAGGGAGAAAACGGAATAAAATACGCGGTCGAAGTAACGAATAGACTCGCGGCTTCAAAGGAAATAGATGAATCGGATGATAACACGGTTGATAAACACTGGGAAAACGTACGAGACGCGATAGTAAAATCGGCGGAGGCCACGGTTGGTTTTTGTAAAAGGAACAAAAACAAGCCGTGGTTTGACGAAGAATGCGTAAAAATTGTTAAAGTACGAAACGAAGCGCGCATCACGTGGTTGGCTCAAAATACGAAGGAAACTCGGGATCAGTTTCTTAAGATTAGGCAAGAGGCTCATAATATGTTTAAAATTAAGAAGCGTCAATACTTAAAACGTAAAATTGAAGAAATAGATGAAAATTGTAAAAGCAGTAACGTACGAGGCACGTACATGGGGATAAATAATTTTAGAAAGGGATTCCAAGCTAGGACGGAAATGGTGAAAGATGAGAACGATAATTTAGTTACGGATACAACGGCAGTTTTAAACACATGGAAAAATTATTTTGATCGGTTATTGAATGTCGAATCTGAAAACGACCGGGAAATAGAGAATTTTGAGTATCACACGGCTGAACCTAGGATTAACGAACCGACAATTTCAGAAGTAGAAAGCGCGATTAAAAAATTAAAAAATCACAAAGCACCGGGTAATGACTTGATTCCGGCGGAACTGATTAAATGGGGGGGAAGTAGATTGATAGAAGAAATTCAGAAATTAATTATCTTAATATGGAATAAAGAAGCATTGCCGGAACAATGGAAAGATTCAATTATAATCCCGATTTTCAAAAAGGGGGACAAAATGAGTTGTAATAATTACCGGGGTATCTCACTTTTACCTACATGCTATAAAATTCTGTCGAATATTTTATTAATGAGGCTTGTACCATATGCAGATGAGATAATTGGAGATCATCAATGCGGCTTTAGGAGAAATAGATCGACTGCGGACCAAATCTTTACTATTCGGCAAATCTTGGAGAAAAAATGGGAATTCGACCAATCGGTACATCAACTTTACATTGATTTTAAAAAAGCGTATGATTCGATAAAACGGGAGAAAATGTATGAAATTTTAACTCGGTGGGGGATACCCAAAAAATTGGCTAACTTAGTCCAAGTTTGTTTAAAAGATACCAGAGGTAGAGTAAGAATAGGTAATCAAATGTCGGAAACTTTTAATATTCATAGCGGATTAAAGCAGGGGGATGCATTGTCACCTCTTCTGTTTAATCTAGTATTGGAATATGCTATTAAAGAAATGCAGAAGAGTAATGATGGTTTGCAGTTGAACGGTACAACACAAATATTAACATATGCGGACGATATTGCTTTGTTGGGAGATAATAAAGAAACACTAATAAATAACGCTAAAATTCTATTAGATAAAACGAAAGAACTGGGGCTGTAAATAAACGTTGAAAAAACTAAATATATGGTCACTGATAGAATCCAGAATATTC